TCCACTGCATGATACCTTCTTCTATACTGTTCATACAGGTGATTCCGGATCAGATGTGTCTAAATGTCCTGAGCCGAGAGATCTGAAGTCCTGTTCTTCGTTGTCTTCTGACCAGAGAGGGTCGACAGTGTTGCGACATGAATCTAACGATACATCAGAGGTTCTGTCCACTCTTGAGAAAACCAATGTTGATCTCTCTGATGTTGATGATTGTTCTCTGACTTCTTTGTTCCAGATGTCTCGAGAGGATTTGATTAGAGCTCAACAGAGCGACGACAGTCTTAAAACTTTATTCTCTGAAGTAGAGCTTAAGAAATGTTCTGATCCTCTCTCCTCTTCGTACTTTCTTGATGATGGTCTGCTTTGTCGGAAAGTGGTCCTGCATAAAGATGTTTTTCAAGAACCTAAAAGTCAGATTGTGGTTCACAATCATAAGGGGACATGAAATTAGTGAGAGCCTTCAAGACAGATTTTGTGGTGATGGACCTTAACGGATAAGCAGCCGGATAACGAGTAGTCTGACACATAACGGTTAGAAGATTGTGGTTCCTTTTATAATGAGGGATTCTGTGTTGCATTTGGCTCATCAAGGACTTTCTGGTCATACAGGAGTTCGTAAAACGTACGATCGAGTCTTGCGACAGTTCTATTGGCCTAAGGTGAAACGGGATGTGGCGAAACATATTCGATCTTGTCATACATGCCAGATCACCGGTAAGCCAAACCAAAAAGTTCCTGTTGCTCCGTTGCAACCTATTTCCGTCGTGTCCACTCCTTTTGAACATTTGGTAGTTGACTGTGTTGGTCCTTTGCCCCGGTCTAAGACTGGTCACCAATACCTTCTAACCGTTATGTGTCAGACTACTCGTTATCCGGCTGCTTATCCGTTAAGGTCCATCACCACAAAATCTGTCTTGAAGGCTCTCACTAATTTCATGTCGACCTTTGGAATTCCTAAAGTCATTCAGTCCGATCAAGGTTCGAACTTCATGTCGAAACAGTTCTCAAAAGCCCTGCGTCAACTTCGAGTAAATCACAATATTTCAATGTGGTAAACCTTTGTGACTCTCTTTCAGAATCATCTCCTCTCTCACACAAAACGAGTGGAGATTCTTTGGAGAATGCTGATGAGGACGAGGGTTTTCTTTCTCGAGAAAAAGTTGACGGGCGACTGAAAAACTCAGAGATTCTTTTTAACCTGTCCTCTCATCTATCTTATTTGACAGAGAAGGAGAGGAGTGATGTCACTGAGTTGGTGATGTCATTTCCCTCTCTTTTCCGTGATGTTCCTGGTCGTACTTCTATCATAGAACATGATATCGACGTAGGAGCCTCGTGTCCTGTTAAACAGAACGCATATCGAGTCAATCCTTTTAAAAGAGATTTGCTGAAACAAGAGGTGAACTATCTACTTGCTCATAATCTGGCTGAATCTAGTTTCAGTTCGTGGAGTTCTCCTTGTGTTTTAGTAAATAAACCTGATGGCTCATATCGCTTCTGCACAGATTATCGGAAACTTAATAATCTGACAAAGCCGGACTGCTTCCCGTTACCTCGAATTGATGATTGCGTCGATCATGTTGGCTCTGCCTGTTATGTCAGCAAATTCGACCTCTTGAAGGGGTATTGGCAGGTGCCTTTGACTAGTCGGGCGAAAGAATTATCTGCTTTCGTTACGCCTGATGCTTTCCTACAGTATACGGTTATGCCTTTCGGGGTTCGAAATGCACCTGCGACTTTTCAGCGACTCGTAAACCGTATACTGTATGGAATGTCAGGATGTGAGGCATATCTTGACGACATTGTGTTGTATAGTTCATCTTGGTCTGAACATCTTGACCAGATCAAAGAACTGTTTTCTCGTTTAGCCAAAGCTAATCTTACGGTTAATCTCGCTAAGTCCGAATTCGCGAAGGCAACCGTTACCTATTTAGGTAAGATAGTGGGAAATGGTTGTGTAAGACCCATTGAGACTAAGGTCGAAGCTATCTGTAATTTTCCCGCTCCCACCACTCGTCGTGAACTCCGACGGTTCCTTGGAATGGTGGGATATTATCGGAGTTTTTGCGAAAATTTTGCCAGTGTAGTTTCACCTCTTACTGATTTATTGAGTCCGAAGTTGTCTTTCCAGTGGACTGAACCTTGTCAGCAAGCTTTCGAAAATTGCAAGGCTTTGCTGGCATGTGCCCCTGTTTTAACAGCTCCAAACTTTGCCAAGCCTTTTATTCTTGCAATAGATGCAAGTGCTTGTGGTACGGGTGCTGTTCTCCTGCAGGAGGACTCGAACCAGGTTCAACATCCTGGCCCAGAGGTGTTGAGAAATGAAGAGAAGACGACGTACCTCTAGATCACCAGAACTTTTATTGTGTTTGTTCTGGGTAGTGCTTAACTGTCTTTTCCCTTTGTTTTTGTTTTAGATTCGTTGCCGAATCTTTTTTTTTTTGTAGGGAGGTGTTACGACCCTGCGTTTCCCTTGCTCGCCTGCTGGGGGCGGTGTTCTTCAGGAGGGCATGGAAGATTGCACACTCCTGTTACCTGCTTTCAATTTGATTGTGGAGAGGATAAAACCTTGGATCCTACCCTCTCCATACCACTTCGTCCAGGGGATTGGCAGCCTCTGGAGGAGTCACTTGTTTTGCGACATTTATATTTGTTTACAGACCTTACCAACCTTTTCTTATTTCCCATTTGGATTATGATTTTGTCCCCTTATGATTGTGAACCCTAGACTTTGTTATCTTAAGTTATTTACACTTTTGTTGTAAGCTAATAAAAACTTCTTGCAAGTAATTTTCTTGTACTTGTATCCCTTTATGTGCGGTCAAAACGAGCTGGCCGTAACAGGTCCCAATGAAAGATTTTCAGAGGCTTCTGGGGCATATGGCAGCTTTGGCTTCCGCTTTGGCTTCCGCTTTGGCTTCCTCCATGTGAAGACCGCTTCAGCACTAGCTTTATGATCGAGTCCCGAGGTGACCGTGGCAGAGCGCGCCCTGTGACGAGATCACCCCGGCCTGCTGCCAAACCCTCAGCCCGTGTTCAGTCCCTTCGTTTATCCGGGCCAAACCGCTCCTAGAACGAGGTCTACTAACACCGACTGAGGGGCCATGTACAAAGGCCTGAGCGACCTCCGACTACATTGGTATTCGTTACTTCGAGTTGGCAGTTCACCTCGCTCTGAGCCACCGCTGCTCAGCCAGCTGGTACTGGTCTGAAAAGCTTCCCTTGCATGTCACAATTCGCCTGTCACCTCCTCCTTGGAGTCAAAGCTTCTGAGGTCACTTCATTCCACTATAAATTTCTTCCGGCCTGCTCAATCATGCCGCCAACAAGCCTCACGACAGCTATGGCCAGGGAGAGTGGAGGCTCCATCCCCTGGCGGTCCAGCTGGGCAGGGACCACTTCGCTGACAGATATTCTAGAGTTGGGGGCTGAGCGACACCTTAGTCGAACCGCTGCTTCCCGTGGGCTCCCTTCACATCAGGCCAGTTTCACTGTAAGCCCGGTTCGTTGTGTCGGCTTGCTGCGCCATTCCCCTCCTATGGACTGGATACGTGCGCAATTTTTTGCTCCAGTTGAGTTCCCCTTTTTTTAGCCGAACACTGTCGAGTTCCTTCATACCCTTCGGCAACGGACGTGGCGGAACGTACGAAGTCAGGCCTATCACTCGTATGCACTGGTGGAACCTGTGTTAGGCTGGGTCCATATGCTGTGATCCCTATGGCGATCCCATATAATAATAATAATAATAATTCATTACATTTATATAGCGCTTTTCTCGGCACTCAAAGCGCTTTACATAGAAGGGGGGGATCTCCTCAACCACCACCAATGTGCAGCATCCACCTGGATGATGCGACGGCAGCCATATTGCGCCAGAACGCCCACCACACACAAGCTTATTGGTGGAGAGGAGACAGAGTGATGAAGCCAATTAGTATATGGGGATGATTAGGAGGCCATGATGGACAGAGGCGGCTTGGCAAATTTGGCCAGGATGCCGGGGTTACACCCCTACTCTTTCGAAAGACATCCTGGGATTTTTTGTGACCACAGAGAGTCAGGACCTCGGTTTAACATCTCATCCGAAGGACGGTGCTCTTTGACAGTATAGTCTCCCCGTCACTACACACTACATATGTGTATTCTTCCACGGTAAGGCTCCCTGCGGCGAGTAGGCCTGCCTGCTCTGCCGTCACTGTCCGGTTGAGTCTCCCCCCTGTTATAGGCTGGAGCCACCCCAGTGACATTCCATATGTTGTACTGCCCGGTCATCCACTCAGTTCATATGTGTATTCTCCACATGTTATCTCCCTTCGGGCAGGATGTGGCTTCCGCAGCGTCCCTTCCTTGTACAGGGAACGCTTTCCCATTGGTCCTGTAGGAACAGCCGTGACTTCCCTGGCCTAAGCCCTGTCCCTTCCCGCCTTAAATTGCCGGGGGATCTGGAGGCTTTTGTCTAGGCACTGGAAGGTGGCAGCTTTAGGGGCGTGTTCAATGGTTATCCCCATTCAGTCGACGTCGACTACGTCTGACGTTCTCGACTGAAAGGGAACGTCCTGGTTGCGTATGCAACCCACCGTTCCCTGAAGGAGGGAACGGAGGACGTAGTCCCCTTGCCACTACCGCTGGACCACCGCTGACTCCAAGTTACGCTCGACTCCTCAGCGAAAAAGCAACTAGTGCGTGCATCCACTTTTGTATTTATACCCGTGCCGCAGGGGCGGAGTTTGAGATGTCGTCACGCACGCCAATTTCCATTGGCTCGTTCAATAGTACTCGAAGATGCTTGGCTCCCTGGCGTGATCCCCATTCAGTCGACGTCGACTACGTCCTCCGTTCCCTCCTTCAGGGAAAGCATTTTACAGCTAAATACTGTACTGCAGTTAGTGCTAATTTCACGTTTTGATATAGGATCTGTTGTTGTCAAGTAACGTTCATTCATAATGTGTCCACATTGGTGTTGTCCCTCATAATTGGTTAACGTATGTGTGTTTTTGCAGCAAGAAGTCGCGTATGGACTGGAGCACAGACTCTACCTCGCTCATCGGAGAGGAGCTTCTGGTGGAGGTTTTAGACCATGTCCCCTTAACCACACACAACTTTGTGAGTGCTACTCAGGCCTGTTTGTGCACACCTGAAGAATCCTGTTCATAGTTCAAATAAAAAAAGATTATTTCATTTTCAGGTTCGAAAAACATTTCTGAAATTGGCTTTCTGCGACATATGCCAGAAGTTCCTGTTAAACGGTTTCCGGTGCCAAACGTGTGGCTACAAGTTCCACGAGCACTGCAGCACAAGAGTGCCCACAATGTGTGTAGACTGGACCAACATCAGACAACTGCTGTGAGTCGCGCTCTCGGTCTTCATCAATACCCAACGACTGGTATTAGGGGTCACAGCCGATTAAAAAGTATCTAATTGTTTACATGATATGCTGATTTATTGATCAATTGAACTTTGAACATGCCATCATTGTAAAGGAGGAGTAAAAAGCAAGAAGTGCCATGATTGTTTGTGTCTTTATCCTCGTCACTGGCCTACATTCCACATCAATCTGTTTTTAGATGAGCTTTATGTGAGGTCGTCTTACTGGCTGCTTATACAGGACTTCCCCATTCAGTCCCAGTAATTTCTCAATTGTTTTCCATTGCACATATGAGTCTATTTCACACTGAATGCCGCTTGACTGCTATGCGTTTGGCAGATTGTTTCCCAGTCCGGGTGAAAGTGGGACTCTGTCTCTACCGACTCTCACATCTCGCAGAATGAGGGAATCCCTGACTCGAAACAGGTAACTCATCATTTCAGATTACATGATGGAAACCACTGTTTTTCTGTAAGTGTACACACACCGTTCAGCGACTGCTCGTGGTTTAATGGCTTGAGGAAAGCCTAGGTTACATATAGTCAAGTCACCTTTATTTCTACAGCGCTTTATACAACACAGACTGTTTCAAAGCAGCTTTACAGAGATAACAGGGAGATACTGATTCAGTGATGCAAACAGAGTTCAGCTGTACAGCAGCTCTAAAAGCATAATAGTGAACAGTCGTTATTCAGCTGAAGTCACTTCCGTGTTGATTCGGTTCAGTTCAATAACTGTAAAGTTCATCAAACTGGAATGAGTTTATTTCGGCTATACAGCCGCTCTGCAGAAAACAGTGATGTCTTCATCAGCTCAGCTCAGTTCTTATATAATGGTGTCAGTGCCGTCAGATCAGTGATATAGTTGAATATGAAGTGTCCTCAACTAAGCAAGCCAGAGCGACAGTGGCAAGAACACACACTCCATCAGTGACAGAATAGAGAAAACCCTTGGGAGAACCCAGGCTCAGTCGGGGGAACAGTTCATATATTTCATCCAGTTCCTTTTGCTCAGACAAAACTGTATAATAAACATTACCCTTTCTAATCCTTTACATACTTCAATAATAATTTGTGTTGAGAGGTGCTATTACTTCCCTTGGCAATCAGATTTACCTTTTGCCTGGTGGATAGTACAATAAAAAAGAAAATATACATGGATTAAATAAGAGACCCAAGCAATATATGTTGGCTTGGCCCGTTCAGCAAACACTCAGAACACATGGACCGGTGGTTTTGCTGGGGTAGACGCCACTAAAGTTTTCTTCAGGAAAATCTAGGAATCTAGTTTTGGTTTTATGCGAGCTCTTTAAATTTCATTTGTGGATTATTGGACCTATGACATATAGTGTGTTTTTGGTAAGGCCATCTAGTGGGATTTTGCTTTATGAAATTTGAGTAATAAATTGAAATGAAACTTGCTGTTTGTCTCCAAGTTCCCCCATCCCCTAGTGTCTGTGATGTTCTTGTTTCTCGATACTGCCAGGGTCCTCTTTAGCAGAGCCCTGTCCGTGTATATGCAGTAGTGTTTCCATTAGCTCAAACCCTCATGTGTTCAGTTACTCCAGCCCTTCAGCTCTGACACCCAGACTGCGCTCCACCTCCACACCCAACGTCAACATGCTCAGCACAACCCTGCCCGTACACACCAGCCAGATCCAGGTGAGCACGCACCACACACACTCCTGTCTCGCTCCACATCTCTTCAGCGCTACTTCCATCTGTGTGTGTGACAGCTGTCAAACTCTCAAGCTCCTATACACATTGATTGGATTTGCTGTTCTCCTCTCTTTCCCTCCACTGTTTCTTCCGTGTTCTCTGTCATGTTGTTGTACCGTGCTGTGAGTAGCCAGACACGTCTGCGAGCTCCTGGTGCCATCAGCAGTGTTGTCTGAAGAGAAGAGTAGGTGTTTTCTTCTGCTCGGTGTCTAACGCTGCCAGGCGTGAGGTAGTGCTTGACTGACAGAAGCTCTCTCACACTGCCTGAGGTGAAGGGCTTTCTCACCTGTTTGTTTCAGAGCCTGGCTCGTTTTCTCTTTGGTTCGGTTCGTTGAGACGCGTATGAACACGGCAATCACGCTTGGATCCGCACAGAAACCATCGCTCCGAGATCGGCTGAACGAGGGCGTCTCGGCCCGACTTACACCACCTCTGGGGCGGCTCGGTCGAGCTGGGAAACAGGGTTCCCACAAGTTGCTTAAAATGCTTGAATTTGACTTTTTGAAATTTAAGTCTTGGAAAATCCTAGAAAACAGCCATATTTATGAACAGGTACTTGAAAAACGCTTGAATTATTGAAAGACAATATATCCTTTCACACAAAATGAACGCTGCAGCCCGTCTGATATATAGAGCCATTTCACACAGCTATGAGTGTGATATTGCTAATAAATATCCAAGTATATGATACAGCTTTTGTTCTTCAGCTCAATCATATATTCATGGGGGAAAAAATCAGTTTGAATAAGGAAAGCGATATCTTTGTCATCGTATCCTTTCAGTGGTGAAAGTTGCCACAGTCATCGCATCAGCTGCACTTTATTTGTACCATTTAGTTTTATTGGTTTATTTTTGTTTATCTATTTACCTTTTTAAGTTGAAAGATAATAAAGATATTGTTTGATAAGTGAGATCTCTAATTGAAGTCCTTTAGAAAACCAAAAAGTCCTGGAATTTAATTTGACAGTACTGTACGAACCCTGTGAGAAAGCAATCGCCCTATAACGGACCAACGAACTAAGCGCTATCATAATTCATAACGGGAAATGTGCTATATAAAGAGCAGCAGTGTCTGATTCTGTGATTCTGCACATTAGTTATCGCAGTTGAAAACCAAAGAGAAGCCTCTTCATCTTTAAATATTGTGGAAGTGATCTTCTCCATGCGTTGCCAGAATGTTGTCCCGACGAAGCCTTGATTCCCGCTCTAACTGAGCATGCATATACAGTTGTATAAGTGTTTGGTGTGTCTTGACAGATACAGATAAAACCACGAAAAGCTTGCGGAGCGAACTCGTCAGTCCATCTTGATGGATGAAGCAGAGGAAACTGGCCAATAAGAGGACAGCTTAACTCACATGTGGCTTGAAATAAACACATTGGTATGCTATGCATTGAAGTGTTGCGTTGTGAAAGCGAACCGAACCAAGAAGACGATGCACCACTGTAATAAATGAAGCCCTGATTGGGAGATAAGCAGACGGTGTGCAGGCGGGACACCCTGAGGCCGCAGTGTGTGTGAGTGAGCTGGGTCAGTCTGTGAGTGGCTGTGCCTGAACACACACTCGTGCTGCGCTGAAGCCTGCTCCACAATACACACACACACGACACACTCATGCTGCGCTGAAGCCTGCTATTGCGTTGGAAGGATTATAACATTTCTAATTAACATTTCTGTGAAAGTTTTATACAGTTTATATACTGACCCGGACCCACAGTCTCCGGGTCAGCTGCTGTGATGAACAGCAGGGATATTGTGACAGCGGTGGGGTCAGAGAAAAACTGATCAGACATGGTGTCTGTCTTAGCAAGCTCTAAAACGTTCTTCTTTTGCTTCTGTTCTGTGCATTGAAATATGACTTTCATGTAGTGTGTTCTCAAAAAGCCACTCTAAAGAACATTAAGAAGGGAGTTTGAGGATCGTAAGTGTTGATAATGATCAGCCTAGTTGTCATAACATCATAACTTTAGCAACACTACAGGAGATTGTGTAAACTGCTCAAGCAACACGCTTCTGTCTTGCAGACTGAAAAGATTGAACAGTTGTGTGTTGTTTCTTGATATTGTTTTCTTCTGTTTGCGTTTCATCTAGGATGCCATGCGTGTTCACAGCTCAGGTGAGAATGAGACATCGGAGCAGACTGATGTGAATGTCTGTGCTGTGGTTTAGTCATGGCATGAGTATGGGTGATGTATATATGAGTTTCCCGTGTGTCTTCAGCTGGCGGTTCTCCGGCTCAGAGCCCCACGGCCCGGACCCAGCCCGCCGTCCCCAGCGCGGCCGCGAGGGAGCGCACTCAGGAGAAGCTCACCATCGTAAGCCAACTCTTCTTCTGCTTGCTCTGTACACAATAGTGCTGAAGCTCGGAAGAGAAGAATCGGGTACGTCTTCTGCAGGATTATACATGTGTCGTGCTGCAGTCTTCAGGCCAGAGGAACATTGTAGTTTAGAAACATGTCAGTCAGCGTTGGGAAATTTTAAAATGAACTAGTTCAGTTCATAGTTCATACTTTGCAATTTTGAACTAAGTTCACGGTTCCCAAAAATGAACTAGTTCAAAGTTATTTTTTTCCATATGTTGCTGCGAGCTATTTTGTTTTTTAAATTATTGCCACAACCCATATACGTACAACCACTACAGCAATTATTTTATCGGCGGGCAAAGTGTGCACAGAAATGTACGATTTTTCCCATCCTCACCGACCTTGTCTTAAAACTGATCATACGATGCGACGCCTCCTCGCTGCTTTGTCGAGCTCATGCTGCTTATTGTCTTGATGACGCATGCGGCGGCCGCGGTGCGACACTGGTGGCTGGTGTTGCCAGATTGAGTGTTTTTTTCGCTACATATTAAGGCCTGTTTTCATGTGTTTTAGCCGGGTTTTCGCCTGGAAGACTCTATAGATATCTGGCACCCTATTGAACGAAGTTAAACTGAGAGAGCGTGCGTTCACAGACACCAGAATGAACGCGTTCACAGTAACATTCATCAGGCAGTAATACAGTACGTTCAGTTCACGTTCGCCCAAAATATGAACGAGTTCATGAACTATCGTTCAATGAACGCGTTCAGGCACAACACTGATGTCAGTGGACAGTGCTTATAAGCGGAGGCAAAGCGCTCAGGTTTCGACCTAACCCGTGGCATGCAGATGTTAGCAGTTACAGGAGCCCATCCGGACTCAGCAGTTTCACAAGCCCATTCTCTTACTTATGGAAATTAACCATGGTTTTATTATAGTAAAAGTGTAGTAACCATAGTTTGTTGGCAGATTGATTACCATTTCTATAATTCAGTGAGGATAGGAGCAGGCTTCACTCAATGTATATACTGATGAATTTTAAGAGTGCTGGCCTAAAATATAACATATAAAATGGAAAAGAGGCTGCACTATGCATATATTGTTTATTTTTGCTCACACGCCGAAACGCGTCTGTGCAAAAATAAACAATATATGCATAGTACGGCCTCTTTTCCATTTTACCATTTCTATAACCACATTTACAACTACATTTTACTATGGTTAAACTATGGTTAGTGTAGTAAAACCATAGTTAATTTGTAGATACCATGGTTTAACTATAATAACCATGTTTTTTTGGTTTTATTTGTAGTAAAACCATGGTTAATTTTCGTAAGTGTATCATAGTGATAAACGCCCTGGTAACGGTATTATACCTGGTATTAAGATGTGTTTTCAATGGTCCCATCACAAGTGGTCAGCATTACAGTTTACACCTGGGGCCGTCTGTATAAAGCTTCTCAGAAATGCTCTTAAGAATAGTCTTAAGCTTTGACTTGAGTGTCAAAACATTCTTAGTGAAAAGTAGGATTAGTCTAAGAGTAGGAGATGTTTATAAAGAAGCTAAAAGCAACTTTCAGCAAAGTCGAAGGCTGATCCTTAAGTGCTGACTGAAGTGGGACTGAAGTGCTGTGAGCTAAGGACTACAATGATGGCCGCCCTCAACCTCTGAATCAGCCAATAGTGAGCCTTGCAAGGGTGAACTCACAGCACATGACACCAATCATTTAATCAAATTATAATCAAATCATTTAATTAAAACATTGAAACTGAAACTAGGATGTTTCTCCATATAGTGACTTCAATGGGGTCCAACGGGTCGAAGGTCCAGATGTGAGTTTCAGTGCAGCTTCAAAGTCTCGACACGATCCAGCCGAGGAATAAGAGTCTGATCTAGACAAACCATCCGCCATTTTCTAAAAAAGAATAAACATATATATACTTTTTAACAACAAATGTTCATCTTGCACTAGCTCTGCGATACGCCACACATGACGTGATCGGGTTGAAAGGGTCACATGCGCATCTACACTATGAAAGCAATCTGGTCAAAAGCGTTGTCGACTACCTATGAAAGTGCTTTTCACAATACTGAGTGTATCAAAGCAGCTTCACAGTGATAACAGGAAAATAATGCAACAGAGTTTGTTTCTGCTGTACAGCAGATCTAGAAGAAAACAGCGTTATACTCCGGTTCATCTTTGTTGTATACAGTTATTAAAGTGGTTGAAAGCTGACAAGCTATAAACAGTGTAGACCCCCTTCTCACCTGTACTTGCTTGACCTGTACTATCCACTTGAGGAAAACACTTCTTATTACCAGGTGTAAACAGGGCCAAAGAGAAGTCCACTCCTGTGAACGACACCAAGAGACATCGCAGACAAAAGCCTGTTTTCAACTGTGGTGAGCAGGACGATGCCGGTGGCGTGAGAGCGGCGCGAGGCCGGTGGCGTGAGAGCGGCGCGAGGCCGGTGCCGTGAGAGCGGTGCGAGGCCGGTGGCGTGAGAGCCGGTGGCGTGAGAGCCGGTGGCGTGAGAGCCGGTGGCGTGAGAGCGGCGCGAGGCCGAGGGACGTGAGAGCGGTGCGAGGCCGGTGGCGTGAGAGGGGCGCGAGGCCGGTGGCGTGAGAGCGGCACGAGGCCGAGTGACGTGAGAGCGGTGCGAGGCCGGTGGCGTGAGAGCGGCGCGCGAGGCCGGTGGCGTGAGAGCCGGTGGCGTGAGAGCGGCGCGAGGCCGGTGGCGTGAGAGCGGCGCGAGGCCGGTGGCGTGAGAGGGGCGCGAGGCCGGTGGCGTGAGAGCGGCGCGAGGCCGAGTGACGTGAGAGCGGTGCGAGGCCGGTGGCGTGAGAGCGGCGCGCGAGGCCGGTGGCGTGAGAGCCGGTGGCGTGAGAGCGGCGCGAGGCCGGTGGCGTGAGAGCGGCGCGCGAGGCCGGTGGCGTGAGAGCGGCGCGAGGCCGGTGGCGTGCGCGAGGCCGAGTGGCGTGAGAGCGGCGCGAGGCCGGTGGCGTGAGAGCGGCGCGCGAGGCCGGTGGCGTGAGAGCGGCGCGAGGCCGGTGGTGTGAGAGCGGTGCGCGAGGCCGGTGGCGTGAGAGCGGCGCGAGGCCGGTGGCGTGAGAGCGGCGCGAGGCCGGTGGTGTGAGAGCGGCGCGAGGCCGGTGGCGTGAGAGCGGCGCGAGGGCGGTGGCGTGAGAGCGGCGCGAGGCCGGTGGCGTGAGAGCGGCGCGAGGCCGGTGGCGTGAGAGCGGCGCGAGGCCGGTGGCGTGAGAGCGGCGCGAGGCCGGTGGTGTGAGAGCGGCGCGAGGCCGGTGGCGTGAGAGCGGCTCGAGGCCGGTGGTGTGAGAGCGGCGCGAGGCCGAGGGACGTGAGAGCGGCGCGAGGCCGGTGGCGTGAGAGCGGCGCGAGGCCGGTGGCGTGAGAGCGGCGCGAGGCCGAGTGACGTGAGAGCGGCGCGAGGCCGGTGGTGTGAGAGCGGCGCGAGGCCGAGTGACGTGAGAGCGGCGCGAGGCCGGTGGCGTGAGAGCGGCGCGAGGCCGGTGGCGTGAGTGGGAATGAGCGACACCTGTGAGACGCACCGGTCTCGCATCTCTCACATCACTCGGCCTCGTCCTGCTCGCCACACCAACCGACTAGATCATAATCATTCAGATGACGTCATCATCTTCACCTGAACGCCAAACACCGTGCGCATCACTTCATGTGGTGAAAGGGACTGTGTAACACTGACACTCACGCCATCCCAGCACCCACTGCTACTGGCTCTGAACTGACATCTTGTTTATTGCATTTTAATACATTTAAAATACTACAATGATGTATTCTGTACAATTGTACTTCAAATATGACTGTTTTAAAGGGGTCATATGATGCGGTTTCTAGTTTTCCTTCTTCTTTAGTGTGTTATGGAGCTGTTAGTGTAAGTATAAGATCTGCAGTGTAACAAAGCTCAAAGTGTCAAGCCTAAAGAGATATTCTTTGTAAAAGTTAAGGCTCAGCCAAGCCTTCCTAAAACACTTCGTTCATTAAACACGCCTCCACAGATCTACGTCAGTGTGTGTGTGTGTGTGTGTGTGTGCGTGTGTAGAGTTTCACACCGCCCAAATGCACACGCTAAGACAGAAGGCGTGACTTTTATTCTCGCTCTGTTATTGGTGCCGCCATGTTGTGGAGACGCAGTGTTTTCCGTTGTTTTCCGCCTTACAAAAGAGGACACAATTAGAAAACAGTGGTTAAGCTTTATTTACAACACTGATCCAGAACAGTACAACCCAAATAGTTTCCAGAACCTGCGAGAGCACAAGACAGTATAAGTCATTATAATCAGTAATTATGTCCCCAATGAAATAAAACCTTACCAATCTGATACGATCTGGTCCAGTCGCGCTGGCAAAGTTGATGGATCAGCTTCGGTCATCTGCATTTCCCGGATCAGATTCGGGCTCAAATTGATAAGGTAGAAACGACATTATCACCTGTCATTATTGCTTTGGGAGCTGATGCTTCAAATATGGTAACAGGCGTGACATTTCCGTCACACGCTTAAGGTTTTTGGGCCAATCACAATGCCGTGGATCGCTGGCCAATCAGAGCACACCGCGCTTTTCAGAACGATGAGCTTTGTAAAAATCAACGCGTTTCAGAAAGGCGGGGCATAGAGGAGCAACAATAATGTGCAGTATGTGTAAAATAATGACTTTTTTAACCTAAAACCACGTAAACACATTGCATTAAACCATTAAAATACACAAAATAATGTTCTTTTTATAACCAGCCCATGACCCCTTTAAGTGCTAACAACAGTTATTGTTTTTTAGCGGCCGCGGGATAAGAGAGACTCCAGCTATTACTGGGAGATCGAGGCTAGCGAGGTGATGCTGCTGAGCCGCATCGGCTCCGGCTCCTTCGGGACCGTATACAAAGGGAAATGGCACGGTAAGCATCGGTTTAACCCCGCCAGCTTCAGTCTCTAATGCCCCGGTTAACTTGCGCTGTGACTCGCTGTAGGAGATGTGGCTGTGAAGATACTGAAGGTCACCAACCCCACCCCGGAGCAGTTCCAGGCCTTCCGCAACGAGGTGGCAGTTCTCAGGTGAGATGCGGACGATGACTGCTACCTGCCCTGAGGTCATGAGGGAGGGCTTTAGAGCAGTGGCCATGGCTGTGTGGATTGGCATATTACAGTAATTGCTTACCCAGAAATGAATATTCTTGCCCCATGTACTCATTTAATGGTTTAATGATAGTTCCTTTGAGTGCCAGTACAATGTAACTTACTGTAACATTTAACACCACTAGTCTTCTGATTGATTGCAAACACACAGGAGAGCAATTGCTTGTAAAATTGTTGACAAAATTGGGTTGATTTTCTCCATAATTGTTAAGAGCATGTTGAAAATGATCAGCGACCCACATAACTCATGTATTATATAATGTGAAGCTGTTTTTTCCTTGTTGCCAGACTCATCATTATAAATAATCATGGTAAAAAAATTTGGGGTGAGTGTCCTGCAATGCTGATAGAATATTCATGCTTTAGTATTTTACACGTTTGTCGTTAGCGTTTGATCACTGATTAATCAATGTGCATTACTGTAGTACATTATATTCGCCGCTTTCCGTTCATAGGATCTAATACACAGTCTAAAATGTGGCATTAAATGGTCGAAACGTCCAGGGGCCGCATGTATAAAGCCACTCTGAGTGAAATTATGTGTCTTGAGTGTGTCAAAATTCTAATGATGACGTAATTTTACTCTAATTCCTAGACTTATGAATAAGTGTTATTCATAAAAGGTTCCTAAATCTGAGACTAGGTCTCAGCCACCATTCAGATCAAAAATAAAGTCGAAAGCATTTAGAGGCATGAAACTTCTTTTAGCGTTAAATAAGTGCCTATTACCAACATAATCAATTCTGAATTAAATTAATACATCGTTCGACCGGACATAGCTGTTTTATATATATAAATATAGGTTATATGTGTTTGCGCAGGTGATATCAGGAAGCAGCGTAACACACACATGACGACAGGAGTGATGGCGGTGTGTAAATCGAGTTACTCTCCCACTTCTGCTGGTTTACGGAAATCTCTTATCCCGTGAATTGGCCATTATTATTACAGACGTCCTGTGGTAAAATAACATTACTCCATCTACCCTTGTAAAGCTAATCCTGTCCGAATTCTGTTAATAAAAAACTGTGTAATAAAATTGTTAGGACTACTACTGAATGAAGACCTAAGTTGTTAATAGTTAAAAATATGATTTTACCAACCATCTCATTATTATACAGTAACTGTAATTGTAAGTGAATGTAATTTAAAGCCCATAAAAAAAAAAATGTTTTCAACCAGTAGTCGAAATTGCCCGCACACTGAAAAAATGCAATCAGACCAAAAAAAGACCATCAAATCTTTAACTTTACTTATGCATGTGAAAAAATGTGCAAAGTGTGTTAAAAATAGACCAGAGAGCAGACGTTTCAGCCCACGCTTTCTTCAGTGCTCATAGAACATCACATCACTCTTTTGTAACCACAATTACAAATTGTCACCAGCTGAGCTTAATCAGTGAGGGGGAAATACTAAAACCAATTTCAAGAATACAAATCTAAAAAAAGTATATTACTAAACAAAAACAAAAATAGCACAAAAAAGTAGCTTCTATTTTTAAAACACTTTGCACATTTTTTTCACATGCATAAGTAAAGTTAAAGATGCACGTTTGATAGACTTGTTTTGGTTTGATTGCAGTTTTTCAGTTTGCTACTTGGCTGACATCTTTCTTTAGTTCTACGCACCCGAGAACTGATTGTACACAAACGTGTCACTGCTCCTGATATACAATGACTGATGAACATCTTTGGTTTTAATGAGAAGGGGGGAAAAACGATACGAGGGCAGATTAGGACCTCTGTAAGGAAAGCTCTACCCCCAGACCATAAGGGCACGCATAAAGTCCAAGCGGATTTACGGTATATATTTATTCAGTGACTTGAAGAGTCTCGGGACTTACACTATATTGTATTATAGTAGATTTTATTTTTAAGGATGAAACTATCATTTTAAACATGGCTTCTATGTCAATAAATTAATCTCAATGTACTATTGAAATGTAACATTATTGTACATATCTGATATAGGATTGTATTAGCACCCCCCCCCCCCCCACACACACACACACACACACACACACACACTCACACACACTCCTCTCCCACCCACTTTATTTTCAAGTTACGGCACTGCTATAGATACAGATATTGGCTCCGCTGAACAGGTTATACGTGTTATATGTTGTATCTTAGTCTAGCCTAGACTAAATATTTTTAACAGCAGCCCACAGTCTCGGTAACATGGTCCAATCTCGGGCCATGTTACCCGATCTCGGTGGGCCATGTTACCCGATCTCGGTGGGCCATGTTAACCGGTCTCGGTGGGCCATGTTACCCTCTCTCAGTGGGCCATGTTACCCGCTCTCGGCGGGCCATGTTAACCGGTCTCGGTGGGCCATGTTAACCGGTCTCGGTGGGCCATGTTAACCGCTCTCGGTGGGCCATATTAACCGATCTCGGTGGGCCATGTTAACCAGTCTCGGTGGGCCATGTTACCCGCTCTCGGTAGGCCATGTTACTCGCTCTCGGTAGGCCATGTTAACCAGTCTCGGTGGGCCATGTTACCCGCTCTCGGTAGGCCATGTTACTCGCTCTCGGTAGGCCATGTTACCCGCTCTCGGTGGGCCATTTTACTCGCTCTCGGTAGGCCATGTTACCCGCTCTCGGTGGGCCATTTTACTCGCTCTCGGTAGGCCATGTTACCCGCTCTCGGTAGGCCATGTTACTCGCTCTCGGTAGGCCATGTTACCCGCTCTCGGTGGGCCATTTTACTCGCTCTCGGTGGGCCATGTTACTCGCTCTCGGTAGGCCATGTTACCCGCTCTCGGTGGGCCATTTTACTCGCTCTCGGTAGGCCATGTTACTCGCTCTCGGTAGGCCATGTTACTCGCTCTCGGTAGGCCATGTTACTCGCTCTCGGTAGGCCATGTTACCCGCTCTCGGTGGGCCATTTTACTCGCTCTCGGTAGGCCATGTTACCCGCTCTCGGTAGGCCATGTTACCCGCTCTCGGTAGGCCATGTTACTCGCTCTCGGTGGGCCATGTTACTCGCTCTCGGTGGGCCATTTTACTCGCTCTCGGTAGGCCATGTTACTCGCTCTCGGTAGGCCATGTTACTCGCTCTCGGTAGACCATGTTACCCGCTCTCGGTAGGCCATGTTACTCGCTCTCGGTAGGCCATGTTACTCGCTCTCGGTAGACCATGTTACTCGCTCTCGGTAGGCCATGTTACCCGCTCTCGGTAGGCCATGTTACTCGCTCTCGGTAGGCCATGTTACTCGCTCTCGGTGGGCCATGTTACTCGCTCTCGGTGGGCCATTTTACTCGCTCTCGGTAGGCCATGTTACTCGCTCTCGGTAGGCCATGTTACTCGCTCTCGATGGGCCATGTTAACCAGTCTTGGTAGGCCATGTTACCTGCTCTCGGTAGGCCATGTTACTCGCTCTCGATGGGCCATGTTACCCGCTCTCGGTGGGCCATGTTAACCAGTCTTGGTAGGCCATGTTACCCGCTCTCGGTAGGCCATGTTACCCGCTCTCGGTAGGCCATGTTACCCGCTCTCGGTAGGCCATGTTACTCGCTCTCGGTAGGCCATGTTACCCGCTCTCGGTAGGCCATGTTACCCGCTCTCGGTAGGCCATGTTACCCGCTCTCGGTAGGCCATGTTACTCGCTCTCGGTAGGCCATGTTACCCGCTCTCGGTGGGCCATGTTACCCGCTCTCGATGGGCCATGTTACCCGCTCTCGGTGGGCCATGTTAACCAGTCTCGGTAGGCCATGTTACCCGCTCTCGGTGGGCCATGTTACCCGCTCTCGATGGGCCATGTTACCCGCTCTCGGTAGGCCATGTTAACCAGTCTCGGTGGGCCATGTCTCGGTAGGCCATGTTACCCACTCTCGGAACAATTGTTTCAAAAGTTAATGCACTTTATAAAGTGAATATCATTTCTTTTCAATAAAAGATGTGATGCTTGATTTGGTTTATATTTGGTTATTGCGCTCACTTGCGCCCTCTTTTGGGCATAGGAGACAATACAGTACTTTTTTCCTCTTAACATTAAGTATTGCCTTTAGAATTCGAATATAATTCGAATTTTGCTACTGTTTAAGAAAAAAAAATTAATTTATCTTTTCAACTATTTTGACAGCCCTACTACACGACTTTGTTGGTATATTTTCTCAACCTATCTGTCTAATGCTGTGATGATCCAGTAGTGTTTGCACGGCATCTGGCGGTCATCTGGAATTCACAGGAACCACAGTTACACGTGTAACTGACGTTTTCACTCAATAAACGGGCAAATAACAAATTAACAAATGATCAGACACTATATGAATGATGGTTATGGTATTTATTGTTTGAATTTAAAAAATGACAGAATTTGTCTTTGTTTTATACCACAGTTGCCTGCTCTGTCTTGTTTGTCGGCGCGATGTCAGTGTCCTGTTTGCTCTGTGATGTACTTTTCACTTCTAGAGAACATTGGCTACGTTTACATGTGCACCAATAATGCAATTATTTCCAACAATTAGAGTTAGGACTTAATCGCAGTAAGATGTTTACTTGACATGAGCAAACTCCTGTTAACATGCAATTTTCATTATTATGATCATGCGATAATTATATTGATTATTGTGATGATAGTTTACTAGGATTATGAGGTTTAATTTGTTAACCTTTTCAGCATTGTCCTGAACAATTTACTGCAGCAAAAGTTAACAAGCTAATGGTGGCACATATGCTCTCAGGAGTGCATTTGCTAAATTCTTGCTAATTTCCTGACCAGTCATTTGTGGTTAAGACCATTTAAAGGGATAGTTCTCCCCAAAATGTAAACTCTGTCAGTAATTACTCTCCCTCATGTTGTTCCAACCCCGTAAGACTTTCGTTCATCTTCGGAACACAAATTAAGATATTTCTGATTAAATCTGAGAGCTGGATCACTCCTCCATAGGCTTCTAAGGGATTAAAACTGGCCGGCCCAGAAAAGTTATTAAAGACATTGTTAAAATAGTCCGAGTGACTACAGTGGCTCAATCTTAAGTTTATCAAGCGACGAGAATACCTTTTGTGCGCAAAAAACAAACAAAAATAACGACTTTATTCAACTATTCATTTCCTTCTCTGTGGGCCTCGAGTGAGTTCCCGTAGTGTAACAGCGCAGCGCTTCTGGGTCGTACGTCACATGTTGGCTCACTATTGGCCGACGCTGGTCATGTGTGTGATGTGTGTGACGTACAACCTAGAAGCGTTGCGCTGTCACACATGTACATGATTTAAGATTTTGGCCACACTGCTCACCACTATTGCATTGCATAAGCAGCACATTTGCGTTTGATGCATTGAATTGTTGTGTCCTGTTGTCTTTTTTCTGCCAACAGGAAAACCAGACATGTCAACATCCTATTGTTCATGGGCTACATGACAAAAGACAACCTTGCGATAGTAACGCAGTGGTGTGAAGGCAGCAGTCTCTATAAACACCTCCATGTGCAAGAGACCAACTTCCAGATGTTTCAGCTGATAGATATCGCGAGACAGACTGCTCAGGGCATGGAGTGAGTGTCACGTCCCGGGATTGAGGGATTCACCTTCCTCGAGTGTGTATCACTTCATTGTGAATGTCTCAACAGTTATTTATGATGTTTGCTTTCTCTCACAGCTATCTACACGCAAAAAACATCATCCACCGTGACATGAAATCAAACAGTATCCTTTTTATGTGACATCATTTCCTCTCCACTTTTGCTTAGGTCTAAAGGCAGATGTGGTGGTTTTAGCTGTTTAGCTAGTCACAGCTACAGCACTCAGTCTCTGTCCACTGTTGGAGCATCTCATACATATCTCATACATCTCATACATATTGCACAAAAAAATCCAAAATCACAAGCTCTGATTGGCTGGCTTTACACATGGTTGGCTTGTGCCTATAAAGGAAGTCCCAGGTTTTGTCAATGTTTGCAATGCTTATGACATTGAATATTTGAATGACAGCAAAACTTTGAATATTTCAGTTAACTTGTATCAATGTACGGTACCGATTAGGGGTGTCACGATTCTCCAAATCCTCGATTCGATTAAGTTTTCGATTCTAAGGTCACGATTCGATTCGATTCTCGATTTAAAAAAAAAAATTAAAGCGCAGATTGCTATGCAATTTTTAGACTACACGTTTATGCATTATGCAATATAAATTTGTTCACAATGTACACTACACCATTGCCAAATTTAAAATATAACAAAAACAAGTAACATCATAAATGTAACAATAACTTTATTAAGGCTTCTATTGGGGTTTTAGAATGAAGCTTTGAATGTCTCTCTCCGTATTTATATATGGTACACGCACATAGCAGAGCTTGCAAACTGTGGCTTTTTTGTCGACAACGCGAACGTTGTCAACATACCGCACTGCAAATCCAAAATACCTCCACACCGGCGACTTCAGAGAAGCAGGAGGGTGTTCAAGTTCCGTTGATGGGTCTTCGATATCTGCAGTTGCCATGATGTGTCAGTTAGAGGACTCGCAGCCTTTCAACAGGTGTTTTGTTTTCCGCACCGTGACTAGTCGTTCATCATGAATGAGTCATTCATCATAAACGATCTGTTCATTCCCTCTGTCACGCGACAAATGAACAAAAGACTCGGAAGGTAAAGTAATTATTTGTTCCCTGTAGTGTAAATTATTTTTCACTGCATTCATTATGTACATCTTCTTAATGTTCGGGGAATTTGCATGTTAATAGTATAACATTTAAAGCCCCTGAAATGACTAGAAAAAAAGTTTAGTTAATTTTGATGAACGAGATTGAACAATAGAGTCTGTAAAACGATCCGAACTTTCCATCACGGACGCGACATGGGGCGTGGCAGTATCGACGATACCATTTTTTATTTCGATTTCGATACCATTGAATTAATTTCGATCGATTTCGATTTAATATCGAAATCGTGACACCCTTAGTACCGATACCATGAACTTTATAGGTCTCAACTCAAGCTGCGATGTAAGCATCTGAAATTATCTTTTACTCACGACAGCCACTTTTGACTGCTAAATGTTTTACTGACGATTCAGAACTTCTACTAGCCAAAACAAACATATCAGAATAAACCTGATTGTCATTCACTGCTAACATTTTAATATATCTAGGAATATTATGCAGTTTGATTGTTAAAAATGTAGTAGTGACATGAATGCTGCCTGTTACCCGTTATGGTTGATTTTCACTCGCACTTGACTAGTTGTCGGATGTTCATTTTAAACCCTGGTTATATCGTAATGCTTCAAGTACTCTATTACCCCTTTTCCACCAAGGCAGAGCTGGTGCTGGTTCGGAGCCGGAGCCTAGTTTCAATTCGGTTCTTTGTTTTTCCACACGCAAAGCACCAGCTCCGAACCAGGAAAAGTGGTTCTTAAGTAGCACCAAATCATTGCTGGTCTAGAACAGAGCCAAGTAAGAACCGCTTGCGTCAGGGACTGGGGGCGGGATTACCGTGTGACCGCCATTTTTAAATAGCAGCTAGTCGAGCTAATAGCAGCTTGAATATAATATCCGTCTATGTAAGTTACGGCGAGCTGCACAAACGCGTTGGATTCTGATGTATTTTTCCAAACCCATGAGCATCCATAGTAACGCAACGTCCGTTATTGTTGATGGCTTGTTCGAGATGCATCGGAGCGGCGCGGACCGATCGGATTTTGTGGCTCTCTAGCCGGTGGAAAGGCAAACCGGTTCTTAGTAAGCTTGTCAGTCGAACCAACTCCGAACCAGCTCTGGCTCTGGCTCTGAACCAGCACCCGGTTCTTGTTGGTGGAAAAGGGGTATATGTAACTTTTGGCCCTCTGGCAGTAAAAAACCCAAATGCTTTTAATAGGCTTACCATAGTGAATCAGGGTAAGACAAAAACATGTTTTAGAGGAAGGATTGATGATGCATTTACTCATTATTTAGATTGTGTTCATTTTGAACAGAAAACTATTTGCATATGCATTATTAAACCGGGGAATTAATAAATGTCAAATTGTTTTTTGATGTTTTTTATGCCACTTACTGCCATGCATTTCTAATAGTTTGATCTTTTACGAAGGGTTGTCTACATCCAGGGGCGGAAGAGCGTCGGACAGACAGGCTTTCTCAAGAGCACTTGATTTATATAGTCATATTGGCAAAGGGCGTGTAGAGGAAAGCGTGACATCATCCAGTACTTCCAGTGAGCATAAATCTGAATGCGTGTAATGGCAATTATGTGCAACAAAATCTGTTCCAAAATGACGCCCCATGTGGACACAGCAAGGTCCATATCTACAAGAACTACTCAGATGAACATCACTGACCTCCAGACAGCCCTAACCTCAACCCCTACTTTCCTTCATATCTAAAATGATTCTAATGGCTCATAGGGAAAAAAGATTCATAAATGTGTCTTTATGCCTGAAGAAACATGGCTACCGTTTCCTCCTGTCAGAGCGAGCTGTTCTTGCCAGTAGATGCTCGACTTTGACTTTAACTCCAGCACAGACATCTTCTTACACGAAGGGCTGGCGGTGAAGATTGGGGACTTTGGCCTGGCCACTGTGAAGGCCAGGTGGACCGGTTCTCAACAGGTGGAACAACCTTCGGGGTCCATTCTATGGATGGTCAGTGCTGTGCTCAAATTCTCCGATTCTGCTGGCTTTAATCCATCTTGAACAAGCATCTGTGACTGAGCCTTTACCCACACCTGTGCTGTTTCCCCGTCAGGCCCCCGAGGTGATCCGAATGCAGGACAACAACCCGTACAGTTTCCAGTCGGATGTGTATTCCTATGGCATGGTGCTGTTTGAGTTGATGACCGGAGAGCTGCCCTACTCGCAGATAGCCAACCGAGATCAGGTAACGCACGCTTGGCTTTTTTCTTGGTCAAGCCACATGGTTTACGCATGTTTTTCAATAGTTCACTTGAAAGGGCAGTCATGAAAGGACTTGAAATATATTACATTTATATGCAACAACACTCCAGCAAAGTGCCTTACAAGCCTTTCAGTAACCATGAAGCTATTCTGCAGCTAATGGTTAGCCCAGCATGACTGAACATGGATCTCTCTCAGTCGTGTGCGCGTGTGCGTGCGTGTGCGCGTGTGTTTTCTTAACAGTTAAGCACAGTCCTTGTTCCCATTACAGTTATTAAAATAATACTGTCAAGACTTCTTTTTCTTTTTAATCAGTAGAAATGTACACTGCCACGATGTATACTTACCTGTACATGGCCATTTTATGTATTAATAAATAATGTGTGTGTGCTTAATTGTCATAAAAATCATCATTATTTGTATTTGTCAAAATGTGACCTGAAAGTTTTTTGACTGACCATTTTTGTGAGATTTATCAGTATTGTGTTAAGATTATGAGAAACTTCTATCTATTACAGACCATTAAAGGGGTCCTATTATGCTTTTTCACTCAGTCAACTTTAGTTAGTGTGTAATGTTGCTGTTTGAGCATAAAAAAGATTTTACTGCGTGTTTTTTCTGGATCTTATGAAGTCATAATGTTCCTCATTTAAATAATCTCCACCCACGCAATACGCAACCAAGTTGGCGAGGCCTGAGCTGCATTAGAGATGATGAAGAGTGCTGTCACTGTTTTACACCCTGGACATAGGCTGGAGAACCTCAACATTATTACCTCAACATGAAGCCTCCGCTAGCCTGCTAACTAACATTACAGTATTGATGTAGTGTTTACTGGAGCTTTGTTGGTAACACTTCACTTGAAGGGGTGTGCATAAGACTGACATGATATAAATCATGAATATGAAGGAGGTTTTATGCATGTTTATGACATCTGTCATTAAGTGTCATTCGCTCAATTATGATATTTGTAATGCAAATATGAGGTTGTTTGAGATGTCTTTATGACAACTTGACATAAACCAAAATGTCATAATTGAGCGAATGACACTTAATGACAGTTGTCATAAACATGCATAAAACCTCCTTCATATTCATGATATATATCATGTCAGTCTTATGCACACCCCTTCAAGTGAAGTGTTTCTGCTTTTTTAAGCTCTTGCTCTTGTAAGACGGTTCACCACCCCTTAGGAAAATGATCCATGATTTTGTGATCGATTACTGTTTGTATTATCTTAGTTTTCCGACAAATACGATTAAATGGTGGATAACATCGTATGTATAATCTATCTCAAACACAAACACACACCACTCTGAAACGTCCTGTGAAATCCATGCTTGCAAAGTCTGTGCTTGAAATCTTTTCTGCACAGTCCTCTTGTTCGCTAACATTGTCAGGGTCTGAAACCGGCTCGAATGGTTTGAAATTGATGGCATTGTTAATATTTACATCTGACTAGAGCTCGCCGTTATGGAGGGGCGGGACAGTTCCCGAACACGAGCCAATCACAACACATGCACAGAATGCATGTGTTGAATGCATGTATATTACAGTTCCAGAGGAGCTGTAATATATGTGATCAAATAATTCGTTTTTTGAACAATCGAGCGTGAAAACATATTCTAGTACACCCCAAAAACAAAATCAAGACTACGTGAAAGGGCATAATAAGACCTTTAGCTATTATTTAATGAAGTCCTACAGTAAATATCTGCGCTGAATCAGTGTTTCCTCTGCTTCAAGCTCTGCATTTACTGTTTTATGCAGATCATTTTCATGGTAGGTCGGGGATATCTGTCCCCAGACCTCAGTAAGCTGTATAAGAGATGTCCTAAGGCCATGAAGAGACTGGTGGCCGACTGCATCAAGAAGTGCAAGGACGAGAGGCCTCTCTTCCCTCAGGTGTGTGTGCTCTCCTTTAACTAAACACAGATCACACTAAATCAGTGACGACATAGAGGTGCTGCTTGTTTTCCAGTATACTTAGCAATGACCAAGATGAGTATTTATATATATTAGATTACATCAGAACAGGTAAAGATGGCAGCCGCCCAGAACGATGTTTTTGCCGCCGCCGGAACCGCAGCTGTTTCTGTGCATGTGTTGCTTATGGCTAATCCATGTACTGGCAACATGCTTGTTTAAGTCATCTGGGTAAGGGCCCAGTAAGGGTATGAATTATATCCATATCCGGATATCGGAGAATAAATAAATAAAAATTGGCAAACACATGTCCGCTGTCAGCCTGTGGTTTTGAAGGGTTATCGCTGCGCTGAGAGAGATCTCGCCTTGACCACCGCCAAGCCAAACTGTGTGCTAATGGCAATCATCTTTGACGATAGTGATCCTGACAAAAATGTATGTTTTGTATACAAAAAAATGTATGCAAGTGAATATCGATCAAATTTTTTATGGACCCCAGCCGACAGAAAAGGGTCTTCTCTATCGAAATCAGTCATTTTCAGGGGGAAAGAAATCAATACTTTTTAACTCCGGAAGTGTGTGTAGGTCCAGCTCTGCAGAGCGCTTCATGACGTGGTTGAGTGAACACTGTCATGTAATGTACAGCCGCTTTCCAGTGTCGGGACAATCTGTTCTCGCTGATCCGGCCCAGCCGCTGCGGTTGTTAACTGTGGGACTGATAATGGAGCTCTTCCAAGCTCACACACACGTGTCAGTCGTTCCCTTGGTAACGCAAGTGTTTACAGAGGTGTGAGATGTAAACTGTGACCATGTTATGGAGGATGATCAGATATTTCTTTTCATTTTATTTTTAATTTGGGTTCACACCCCCACCACCCCCACCTTCACACAATGAGAATTATTTTATTGGAAACTTGCTAATACATTAGCAAACCAAATATAAACACATCTTTGTTTGTTTCCATGAGCAAATGATAAGTGGGCTAAGTTATCATACCCATACGCACCAAATGCCCCTAAAGCATTTTAACATGTTTCAGTTCACATCTCAGAGTCAGACAACCTTCTAACAATCATCAGAAACGCTTTGAGCAACTCACATAGTGCATCAGAGAAACACACATAGTGCATCATAACACTGTAATGTACATCACACACCCGCTATATTGCTAAATGTACATGATGTTTCATATCAAATGAGAGAAATATACCGTGATAACCTGGCTTCTCTCGAGACTCCCTGCTTCAGAGTGGAGTTAATAATATGCGGAAGCGCGCCGGCACGATGATCTGATTGGTTACAAGGTAGTGTGTGACGTCAGAAACACCAGCGATGTCAAACCGTGTGTTTGAGACTGTCTTTGGTTCACTGCAGTTTTAAGGAGAAAATACTCAGCAATGCTGTCGACTTATGAACTTACACACGGTTTGTCTGAAAGCATATTAAAAACACCACATAGAAACATAAACAACATTAAACGCTGGATTTACACCACAGGGGGACTTTAAGACTATTCATATTCACAGGTGCAAATATAGCACTTTTGAGTTTATTATTTGAATGCATTTTTATTTAGAACAAATTCAAGCAACATAGTGAATATCCAGACTGTGAGCCTATGCTTATGATTTACCTTCGGCTGCACAGTACTCGCAGTACTGCGGCGTGTTTTAGATTTCACACATTTATCATGTGTTTTATTAGTCTTTCCATAAAATAAAGTGGTTTTGCATGGGAACATTAAAAGTGGTAGCCTAATATTATCACTACATTATTTAATATGCCGTCACAAATACAATTGTTTGAAACTTGCATTTAATAATTGGCTTCTCCGTTATTACTTCTGTGTCCTTTGTTCATGACATGCAGAATAAAATAGGCCTGTATATCTCTCCATGAATGAAGAAATCATTGAGCACTTTAATTCTTACCTTTCCTTTAGTTAAAACATGAGCACATTGGTATAGTTTGTTTCCATTATATAACTACAGATAAATTAAATGTGGCCACAATTGAACTTAAACAATAGAACTGAAAAACAAAGGGACAGATTAATAAAACATCCTTACGTTTTGTTAAAACTGTTTAATTCATTCATTCATTATACTTGTAAGCTGTGTTATTATCGTGTTACTATAATGCTGTGTGAAATGCTGTGTAATAAGTGTTATGACGGTTATCTCTTAAATGTCCGTCTAGTTTGACCTTGCCGCGCTGCAACTGTAGCCATGTAATAAACGGATAATGTACATCTAGCCGGCTGTTATCTCAGAATAAACCCCTTCAGGTGTGTGTGTGTGTGTGTGTGTTATCTCAGAATAAACCCCTTCAGGTGTGTGTGTGTGTGTGTGTGTTATCTCAGAATAAACCCCTTCAGGTGTGTGTGTGTGTGTGTGTTATCTCAGAATAAACCCCTTCAGGTGTGTGTGTGTGTGTGTGTGTTATCTTAGAATAAACCCCTTCAGGTGTGTGTGTGTGTGTGTGTGTGTGTGTGTGTGTGTGTGTGTGTGTGTGTGTTATCTCATAATAAACCCCTTCAGGTGTGTGTGTGTGTGTGTGTGTGTTATCTCAGAATAAACCCCTTCAGGTGTGTGTGTGTGTGTGTGTTATCTCAGAATAAACCCCTTCAGGTGTGTGTGTGTTATCTTAGAATAAACCCCTTCAGGTGTGTGTGTGTGTGTGTGTGTGTGTGTGTGTGTGTGTGTGTGTGTGTGTGTGTGTGTGTGTGTGTGTGTGTGTGTGTGTGTGTGTGTGTGTGTGTTAGTTATCTCAGAATAAACCCCTTCAGGTGTGTGTGTGTGTGTGTGTGTGTGTGTGTGTGTGTTATCTCAGAATAAACCCCTTCAGGTGTGTGTGTTATCTCAGAATAAACCCCTGTAAGGATTCAGGGCGGATCTAATCCGTGGGGAATTTGCATATCATAATTAATAATTGGTAATTAATAATTATTCATACATGTTTGGATTAGATCAGTCTTACATGTTAATAAATCTCCCGATAAGGGAGGATCTGTCATTCTACCTGCATGCGTGCATGTGAATCCCTGAAATTAACCACAAGTTGATTGCAGTTAATTACACGGACCATGTTTCACAAACAGGTAAAATGAATTAGCTCAATTGTCAGGATAATATTTGTGGGATCCACAATATCATCTTACTTTATAGGATTTCAGGAAACGCAATTCTCTGGCCAGAAGAATTGGGTTTCCCGCCCTATCAACACATACTCTTTAAAGTATCTTTAATTCGTAAAGCTTGTAGCATAAGTTAGACCTTTGGCACTTAAGGGACTTGAAATTGAGCAAAGAGACAGCACATCAATCAAAATGAATATAATGGATTTAATAAAGGCATGTCTACTTATATATTTACTACGGTACAGTAATATATATATATTTACAAACAAAAAAGACATAAACAACACAATAAGACATCAATGAACGAGAAAGTGTGTGAGATAGAGATATGGATAAATTACACGCGTGAGAGCGAGTAAGAGAGAGAGAGAGAGGGTTACGTTCACCTAGACAGTCAACTTTCCTGAAACAACACGAAAACACATTCTTAATGCTCTGAAAACAGGGGAACCCAAATTTACTTGCATGTGGAAGGGTTCTCTCATGTGTTGCTGCGTTCCTTGAGCGGCCTGCATGGTCTAGCCGCGTTTTGGACGGCAGATCTTTTGTTCTCCGTGCGCGTGCGGCCCGCATGGTTTAGCTGCGTGCGTGAGCTGAATCCTTGGTTCCGTGGAGTCACGTGATGCGGCGCGAGTCTTTGAACAGCGGTCGGAAGTCTTTTAGGTCACGTTACCAACGGAAATAGTTCGGCTCAGGTCATTTCACTTCGTGGAAGTGAAACAAGTTGAGTACAGAAAACAGATCTTAGGCTAGAAAGTAAAGAAAAGATCCAGGATAGGATCTGATCCCTGAGGGGACATCCGCGTGAATTACATGTTTCTGACGCGCTGGAAAGTTCAAGAGAGAGTTGGGCGGAGCCGCGCTCCTACATTTATCACCTCGGAGAAATCCATCCCCTTCCTGTTCACTGGGCCAATCGGGGAATGGATGTTGCACGCGGGAACCCTCGGTTTATTGTCCTTTGTTTGGGAGAACGTGCCCCTCGTGGTACAGGGGTGTGTTCAAGGAGGGTGTATAGTTTAACAGTTTGAATCTTCAATGGCGGTAAAACCTATTAAAAATACACTTTACTTTATATCTCTGTGCATATTCAGATAGCCCGTTCCATGAGCATTTTAGAGGTGTCAAACACATCAAATGAAAGTCAAAGGAAAAATACTTATTTAATATGCATAAAGAAGGTATTTCTAATGTCTATTTATGCCGTGGCCAAACAAAGATATTTCACTGTGACATGGGGAAAAACACATACATTTAACAAAATATATTTAATGGTTTTTATGTCTTTACCCAACAGAAATGTCCGTCTCTTTGTTCAGAGACATTCTGCGACATTCCGATGGGTTATAAAGTCTCGTAACAGTAGCTTCCCTCATGTGTTGGGGGAGGGAGGGGCTCGTGTGTGTGTGTGTTTGTGTGTGTTTTTCAAGTTCCAGGCCTTTTGGGGCTAAAGGCTTTGGGATTTTAGCACGGAGGTATTTAGTTATTCCGATTCACCCTCGCCCAGTCCTTACACCCCTTCAGGTGTGTGTGTGTGTGTGTTATCTCAGAATAAACCCCTTCAGGTGTGTCTGTGTGTGTGTGTGTGTGTGTGTTATCTCAGAATAAACCCCTTCAGGTGTGTGTGTGTTATCTCAGAATAAACCCCTTCAGGTGTGTGTGTGTGTGTGTGTTATCTTAGAATAAACCCCTTCAGGTGTGTGTGTGTGTGTGTGTGTGTGTGTGTGTGTGTGTGTGTGTGTGTGTGTGTGTGTGTGTGTGTGTGTGTTATCTCAGAATAAACACCTTCAGGTGTGTGTGTGTGTGTGTGTGTGTGTGTGTGTGTGTGTGTGTGTGTGT